AAGACTTACCTTTTCTCTATCATATTACTTCCAGCTATTTATTCTATTAAGTGAAGTATCACAAGAATGGAAAAACAAGCACTGAATGTACTCGCCATCAAATTTGTATTAACTGATCAACACTTAAGTGCATGTATAGTAATAATATTCATTGGGTGTCGTGCAGATGGAATTGGGGAGAAGGGCATGGGTATATACACACCTAATTGGTACAGTGTGCATCATCTGGAGAATGGACATGCTTGAAGCTCTGACTCTAGTGGGGCAAAGGCAATATACGTAACTTAAACATTTATACCCCTGTAATATGCTGAAATTAAAAAAAAAGAATTTGCCTCAAGGTAGAAAGCTTTGGTAATCCTAGTGAGGAATTTCTTCATGCAAAGTGATAGCCTGGCATGGGGTATTGCAGCCCAAAAGTTGTGAAGGGACAGCCAAAAATGGCAAATCAGAACCTGAGAAAGATCAGGAGGGGATCTATATGGGAAGAAGTCACAGTGAAAGGGTGACATTGCTTCAAAAACCAAATATCTGCACTTACTGTTGTCCAATGTTTGTAAACATTTTTTTCTTATATACTTTGTCTAATTTAGCAGTGGTTTATGGTACAACACATGTCCTTTAGAAGTTATTCTTTCTTGGGAAACAGCAGAAATCTCATTTATATTTTCACATCTGTTTCTACATATGGAAAGCCATGAGTTAATATGATACCATCAGGGTTAATCCAACAGTTTTATTCTTTTTGATATTTCTAATTCTCTCCCCTAACAGTGAGAAAACTGCCATGTGTTTTATTCATTTTCCTGAATGTAACCAGCCCCTTTCTCCTTGCCCAGGCCTTTCACATGCTAGTGAGGTTCTTAACACCCACTCATCCACCTCCTCTCCATGGGACCATCCTCAGTCCCCTATCAGGGTGTTAGCATTCCACGTGAGACCACCTCTCTGTATGGTCACCTTCCTTAACCTGATGGAACACTGGCATGTCATAGTAAGACCTTCCTCCTGTAAAGGCATTCTCTTTGTGCCACCTGAACTCTGACACCTTTTTCTTCTGACCCCACTTTCAGATGTTTTCCTTACTTGTCAGACTCCAGATCACTTTTCTGAGCTGCTCTTCCTCATGGATACCTTCCTTACCACCTGTAGGTTCTGCCATCCTTTCATTGTGCCTTATTCCCACACAGACATCCTCAGGCTCTGATCCCCCTCAGGCTCTGAAGTGCCACTGTGGGCTATCTCTTCTTGTGAAAGTGCTTCACAAGTTCAAGCTTCCCTACTCTGTGCCTCAGTACCACTCTGTGTGAAGACCTCCCTTACCATGTTTGGGCTCTGATACTCCTCCTTAGGCCACATTATTCCAGGATATCCTTCTCTCCTGCTCAGGCTCTGATTCTTCATGCTAGGCCACCCTAAAATCTGCAACTCCATTTCAAGCCACCTCCATGAGTTGTCCTCTGTCATCCAATCTGCCACACCACACTGGTATTTCTTAGCATATAAATATCTGTGACTTCTGTGACTGTCTCAGGCTGTGACAACTCATACTCAGCGACTGATATACAGACCCCATTTGGGTTTGTGTCTTCATAGTATCTTACCCACCCTATGCCATCCCTTCCACAGGATAACTTCCTTACCCTGCTTTGGCTCTGCTCTCCTATGTTGGGACTTTTTTAGGCATGGCCTACCTAGGCACTGCCAACCTACAGGCTAATGGTATACTTCAACGACCTCTTTATTCTGTCTGATTTCAGTCATCCCTCACTAAGGGGATGCTTTCCTGGCTCTTCTTCGACTCTGACTCCCCACATCAGGCTGTATCCTGTGGGCACCCTATTCACTCCACTCGTGATCCAAAACCCCATGCCAGGCTCATTCTCCGTGTGGATGCACTTTGTACCCTTATTTGGCTTTGGCATCACACCAAACATGTCTTTGTCGCTCTACTTGGACTCTGACACCCCAAGCCAGCATTCCCTACCAAATGATGTTTACCTTGTTCTTGCCCCAAATATTGCATGTAGGGTTGAATCACTTAAGAAGGGAAGGGAAAAAAAGAAGAAAAAAGGAGAAAAAATGAACAAACAGGAGAGGATAACCCATAATAGTATTCGAAGGCATCAAATTCCATAAAATAATTGAGGCAAAGTATGCAGAGCCTTATGAAATCATTGAATAGTATTATGGGTCACTGTGTATTTGTTTATTCCTCTTCTTCATGATTCAGAATTTTCAATAATAAAATATATTTTTATAATGGTATAATTTAATATTTGTCAGGAAAGGAACAGTTTATGCTTTTAAAGAGCTTATTTTTATTATTTTAACTAAGACTTGTTTACACTTGCTGACAAATACAGATAATTACTAATTGCAGTAGGTTAAAGAAATCCATAGTTATTTAAATTAAGTGATCATTACATGTCTATTTGTACCTGTACTATAGAAAATTCATAATAAAAATTCCATATATTAAATTAATCTCTAAGTGACTGTCCATACTTGGGTGAAGCTATTATAGATTCAAACTTGCTATGTTGGAGACACAACAAAAGCTAATTGTAGTTTCTTTTATTCTAACAACAATGGAAGCTAATAAAAATGTTTCAAAAATTAGAATTTGTGAATCTATATTATTGGAAATATGATCAACTATTTTGTGAAACAAATCCAATTGACATGCCAAGTACTAAGTTAATTAAAATGTATTCATTAATTTATAATGGAGATAACTCACATATGCCACATATATAGAAGGAAAACATATTTACTGTATGTATGGAAAGAAAGCCTATTGTTAATGTGGTCCTAGGGACAAATTGAATAGTGTAAGTTTCTTATTTGAACCTCTCTATGCCTGCTTTCTTCCCTGAGAAACAGTTACAGGAGTACTACATTCTACAGAGGCTTCCTTTGCCTCTGCCAAACTTTATGGCTTCCAGAAATTAAAGGGATTATTAACAGGATAATGGTACATTTCCTGTCAGTTTTAAGAAATAATGTTTTCAGCAATAACTGCCGAGACAGTTATTTCAGCGGGACTTTAGTACTGAAGAATCCTGCAGTGACAGTTTACATTGTGTCCAATTGGGCAGAACTGGGGCCAACAATGTGGTTTATATTCATTAGTTGTAATTCAATGGGCAGGGTTAAGGAAATTAAAAGACCTTTCCCTTCCAAAGCTTAGCCTGGTCTCCATAATATGTAGATAGCCCTGGGAGTAGATTAATAAATTGAAGGAAGTTCAGTGAACACTATAAGAGTCTTACTTAAATTGTATCTTTGCATGTTGGAAATTATTCACAAAATTCTTATTTTTTTCCTGCTGGAAGCTGTAATAATCTCGGTTTAACTTAAAGAGAACAAAATTAACATTTTAAAGCATGTAATATGTGTCAGATATTAAATAGGGCCCTTATATATACCATTTAACTTTATATTCACACTTAAGCCCTGTTTGTAATATGTATAAATGGAATAGGCAACAACTGGCAAATGTGAGAGCTAAAATTATAACCTTAGATACAGCTAACTTCAAAACTATGTCTGTTAGTTTTCTACCCAACCAGCATTCTCAATATTAACTTATAGTTGTATATTAAAGAAATTAAATATTTTGTCATTAATACCTGCATTCTTAAAGTGATTGATACTCTTTTCAAACCTATTTCCTTTAGACACTTTAATGTGCATTCCATAACAGTTAACTCTGAATCTTCACACTGCCATTGTGACTCACTGATTTAATCAATACCATCAATGCAGTGGATAATTTATAAATACACTTCAATGTAGACTCATGTCAATATTATATGTTTGGGCCATCCAATTGCTCAAATTTAGTAAGCAAGTCAAATCAATTCCAATAGCACTAGATAGATACTACTTCAATGACTGAAATTTCTTCTCAAACATTCATCTTTAATGTATATTGAATCAAATTCTTTAACACCTACAGGAACTGGGTACTCATTATCTCAGGTAGCAGACATATTTGGATCCCTCTGGCACAAAATCCTGCCTTTACTTAAATGCAAATCCATATTTGAAATACTTATCTAAAGCAGACATTAATCCCCTTGCTTATGACAGGCTTTCAAATACTGAAGAGATATACCTAATTCCCCTATGAGACCACTATTTGCTATTTTAAAATGCCATACTGCCTTTCATAATTTGTCTTGTGAAATAGCTTAGAGTCCCTTCAATTCTTCTTCATTTTTATCTGAATTAATTTCATTTTTAGATACCTGACATTGAACAAAACATTTGATGAAATGTCATACTCTTAATTCCCTCAGCTGGCAAATCATGTTATTTGTCATAGACAATCACAAATCCTTTGAGGGTCTTGTCATTTGTAGTATCTACAGAATCTAGTAAAGTATACATACTCACTTTTTTAAAAAAAATGTTAACTGGAAGATTACACATTTTAAAACAGTAATTATGTTTCATTTATAGTTAACTGTAAGAAACTGAAAGTATAGATGACATAAGTGAGTTGTTAATGAATGTTTGCTCTCTAGCAGTTATATCAGCCATGAATGAATGTGTCAGTTTATGCAAACATTCTTTTAAAGCTGACTTACATGATCAAGTAACTTATAAGATTTTCCTACAATATATTCATCTTCCTGACTCAATTTACTTTCTCCAATAATGATAAAATGGTTACATAGTTGAATAGAGAACTACTGAGGTCAAACCTCATATAATAAAGATACTCAAATTGTTCTTTTGAAGCTTCTTCTCCTTTTAGGATTTTTATTTGTGCTAGGAGTTTTAAATCAAAAACCAATTAGAATAAAATAAAATCCAATTTTATGGGCCATGGAGACCATGCTATTTCATTTATCACTACACAGTCTCTCCCACTTAGATATCTTCACACATTTTATTCCTAGGGAATATATTTTTTCCAACTGCATCAGTAAACTAAAGATGTAACACTGTTCAATTTTTCTTGTGTGTGCTTTGTTCTCACCTGACATCAGCTGAAGTCAGTTGTCAATCTCCAAGATACAATGAGAACAAATTCTCGCCATACTGAAGTCTTGACACAGTTATTGTAGTGCCAATAAAAGCTTTTTCTCCAGGACACGTTCTCAACACCTTAAAAATGTAATCCTTGTAAAACATTTTTTTTTTTACCCACATGAATTCCCATATGATGCATTTATATGACTGCATTTATATTTCAATGGAAAAATGCATACTTCTAAATTTACTACTAATTTAAGAGTAGTATGAATATGTGATCTAGTAGATATATAACCAAACTATAAGTAATATATTAAAATCAATTTAGCTTTTTCTTCTGTAACAAAAGAAATAAAATATAAATTAGCATATTTGCCATTTCTTACTTGGTACTAAATATGGTTCAGGGACCAAACATAAAAAGAAAAATATAATAGATTATGTTACAAAATTATATGAATGGTTGTGCTTTGGAGGCTAAATAAATACAATTTCTATCTTATACATTTATTAATAGCATATTTCAAATATGAACCATAAAATAGGAAAATGAAAATGTGTACTTAGAAAATGTAATCTTTAGTTGTTTTAGACATTCTTTCATCTTTGTTCCCCCTAATAAAATTAGTATTTTCATCCTATTTTATTTTTGGAAAACTATAAATTATAAAATAAACAAAACTTCAAAATTAGTGAATCGCAGAGTATGCTTATCCTAATTGCTGTAGTACAGCTTAGTGACTATATATATTACTGAATTTCAGTGACTAATATTGACAGTTAAGAGGATAGAGAGGGATGGAGTATATGACAATCAATGTAATGAAAGACATTAAATCTCTGGAAAGTGACAAGCTATATAAAGAAAAAAAAAGTCAGGATAGATGACATTAAATATAGTCATACCACTTTACTCTGCCACATATTGCTACAGGTATATTTCAGTCTTTTATAGACAAAGTTAAATATCAACCAAGACATTTTTGAATATTAATTTGACTCAGGTGAAAAAAAAAATGGAAAAGACTTGCAACTCAGCTATCAGCTAGGATTAGCCTCTTATCATCTAGATAAAATTAGTTTGGACTCATATCTGTGGTCTTGTGGAAAGAAAAATGTTTTCTCCAAGATTTATATATGCAATCTATGATCAGATTGCCACCTGTGGCTCCATTGCTTTCATTTATTTAACTCTCCTTTTTTTCTCTACTTTCTGCTTTTATCAGTAACAATTTCAGATATCAGTAGTTCCCCTTGCCTTGAAATTTCCCAGCCCATCAACTAGATCAAGTAAACATAAATACAATAAGGAAAAATGCTTTTCTGTTAGATTTTAATGAAAGTTTGTCAGTCATGTAAGAGGAGTTATGCTAATGAATCATTAAATATCATTTATCAGATATTTCTTTTCTGAAAAAGTCTTCAGAGATGCATTATAAACTGACCATGTCAACCTTTGTTACACTGCTAGCCCTTGTGTCCTGGACACCTCTTTGCATATTTCCTGTATGGATCTTCCAAATCTGTGCTCATTTTTTAGTCCCTATTAACCCCAGTTTTAGCCTATGTCATTAAAATAGGTTTATTTAAAAAATATATAGAGGACTTCATAATCCTTTGCCAATAAGAAGTGGGAGACTTTTTTTCCTATAAAATAATCCATTTGGCATAGAAAATAGTAATATTTTAAAGCATTATCTCCCCTTCAGATGATTCAAATAATTTGTAGTGTGACAGAGACAACATGTGGCTGAGAATTGTGAGATTTCCAATCTCAGCTCTGGCCTTTATTAGCTATTGCATTTTAGGAAAGTTGTAGTAAGTAAGCAGAATATCTAAATATCTCCGTGTCCTAATCACTGAAACCTCTGAATATGTTACTTTACATGGAAAAGGGGACTTTGCAGATGTGATTAAGATAAGGACCATGGGATGGAGAGATATTCTTATATTATCCGGGTGGGCTCAAATAAATCACAAGAGTCCTTAAAAAAACCTTTCCTGGCTGAAGTCAGAGTCAGAAAGATATGTGACAACAAAATGATCAGAGAGATGCAATGTTGCTGACTTTGAAGCAGAGAAAGAGGGCCACATGCGAAGGAATTGGTGCCCTCTAAAAGCTAGAAAAGGAAATAAAACATACTCTACTCTCAAGGCTCCTAAAAGAAACACAGTCCAGCTTATGCCTTGATTTTAGCCTCATAAGATCTGTGTTGTACTTCTAACATACAGAACTGTAAGATAATAAAATTTTATTGTTTCCAGCTACTAAATTTGTTGTAAGTTTCTACAGCAGCAATAGAAAACTAATACAAAAGTCACTTTTTTTCTTATCTCTTCTTCATATAAAGAGGTGATTGAGTGAAAACTCTCCAAGACCTTTCCAGATTTTAATTATCTGATGAACTTGCCTACAGTGGTAATTTTGGGAGGTCAATATTTATTACTTTCCTGTGGAATCACTTATTACTATTAATATAATGTTCTTAATCCATTCATGAGGATTCCACCCTCATGACCTAAATACCTCACAAAAGGCCTCCCCAACACTGTTGGAGACTAAGTTTCCAACACATGAATTGGGGAGAACACATTAAGATCATAGCAATTTTCGAGTAGAGACAGCTAATAACCAAGAGATTATAAATAAAAAGGACTTGCAGGAGTGTATTGGCTCTCCTCTACTGCCATGTTAGAATACAAAGTTCATACCTCTCTTGCCCTTCTGCCTTTCTGCCATGTGAGGATGCAGCAAGAAAGCCCTCACCAGGTACTGGTCCCTTGAGCTCAGACTTCCCAACCTCCAGAACTGTGAAAGAATCAATCTCTGTTCTCTATAAATTACCCAATCGCTGGTATTATGTTTACAGCAGCTCAAAATGGACTAGGATAGAAGTGCATCTTAAATGCACTGTATCCTGATACTTCCTGTACTAAAATCACTGAGATCAGGAAACCTCCAAACCAATACTTTTTAATGTCAGGTAGCACAGGCTTTATTAAAAGGTTTACTGACTGTTATAACTGGGTGTGATCTTTTCAAGGTTTTCTAGTGCTACATAGGACTCTGATTACCTCACTCCTGCCTGAAAATCAGATCAGATAATTCTTCCTTCTTCATGAGTTAGTAACAGAATTTAATATAAAAAAGACAGAAAATAAATTTTACCAGTTGTGATTTACTTGCCCAGATTGGTGGTAATATCCCATCAGTTCCAGAGTCCTGTGCTTGTAAGAAATCTTTCTTATTGTTATCCCTTGTTTCTTGCTATCATTAATATGAAATCAAAGGAATCCTCTTCCTTCAGTTTTTCCAAGTATTCACCTGACCATTTTTGAGTTAACTATTAAATCGTTTGCAATACCCAGTTCTCTTACTTTTATAGGCCTCTGGAAAAGAAAGTGATTCTCAAAAATCCTTTACCCACTATAAAAGTATGTATTTATAGCTTTTAAAACTATAAGTGTGGCCCCTTTGCTTCTCTAGCCTGCTGTCGATACACACATTTCAATATAGGTGATATAATCCTAATGCCTTGCGTGCTTCAGAAAGCAGTTTTCATGGCAATAACATACCTAATGAGCATGCTAATAACCTCTGTAACAGAAAAAAAAAATCGTCAAAATGTAATGTAAAGTGAATAAGGAATAAACTTTGTATTCTGCCTTTTAGAAACAGCTGGGCTCAGCAGCCTGGGCTTAACTCAGATAAATCATGAAAAGCAAATGAATAACTACAGTCTCAATCTACAAAGAGCATTTAAACTTAGAATTAAAGCCCAGATTGCACTAAAACTGGCAGACAATCTCCATTTGTACTTTTTAGCAATTAACTCTTATTAACACATCTAGAATTGCTTTTATTCCATTAAAATAGTTTGTGTTAGGTACCAGAAAAAGTATATAAACAATATATAAAAGGTGTGGCAGAACTTACTGTTTATATTTGGCTTCCTTTCTTCATTCTATTCACTATTCAGTGTATTTGACCTAGGTACTTACACCAGGAGGATTGAAATGACTTGATGATATTTCTACTCCCTGGTTTAAGGTGGATTCTTCTAAGTCAAACTGCTGTAGATGGATTTGAGAGCTGGGGTGGGGTCCAGTGAAACATATAGAATACAATGAGTTAAGGATGTGGTGATAAATGACAAATCCCATGTCGGGTTGTAGAAACAGGGCCTGCACAGAAACATAATAAAAACTACTTTTGTAAAATAAAATAATACTTTTTATTTATTCACTTATTCAACAAATATATACTGAGAATCTATAATTCTTTTCAGACACTGAAGTCCATATAGGCAACCACGATGTAAGAATTTTCTCAGCAGTGATCATGGCACCAGACACCAGCACATCAACTGAACTAAGAGAATTTACATCAAGACTTCACAAAAGGAAACACTTAAAATATATTCTCTTAGCATTTCTTAAGAATACAATACATTTTTATTAACTATAGTTCCCATGTTGTAGAATAGATCTCTTGAAATTGCTCCTCTTATCTAACTGAAGTTTTGTATCTTCTGATCAATATCTCCCCAACTGTTCCTTTTCCTCTACCATCCCAGCCCCTAGTAACCACCATTCTGCTTTCTGCTTCTATTATTTTGTGTTGTCAACATAAAAAACAATAACTATGTGAGGTCATGCATGTATTAATTAGCTTGATTTAGCCATTCCATGGCATATACATATCTCAAAACCTCATGTTTTTGTGGTATGTGTGATAAATATGTGTAATTTATTTTTCAGTTAAAATATAAAAATTTAAAAGTAAGCAAAAATTGCTCAGAGATACAGAAACACTGGACTGGAGCAAAAACTCAATTTAATAGCACTACATGGTGAAGACTAGATAAATGAATCAAAGCAAAATAGAGCTATCAGGTCTTTAAAAATGTAGTTCATATATGGCCTCACATATAATTTATGAACATTACATTACTATACTTCCAAATCCTTCCTCTCATATTTTGTGCTATTTTGTTAAATATTTTCCTTTTATCTATATTCTAAAATGATCATATTTGCTAATGGTTTTGATGATAATGGATCCTCTCGTTATCTGTTTCACTGACACAAAGTATTTCACCTCTATATTTTAAAGATATTTTTGCCATATATAGAATTTAGGGTTGGGAAGTTTCTCTTTTATTGTTATCCTTTTATCTTTTTAAGATGTTCCTGCATTGTCTCCTGACTTGCATAGTTTCTAATGAGAATTCTACTTTGCTTTTCTGTATGCATTACATATGTTTCCTCTAAATAACCCTCAATATTTTTCTTTATTTTGGTTTTCAGATATTTGAATATTATATGTTTAAGTTTTAAAATTTATATTCATTCTTTTGTTTCTCTGAGTCCATTGTTTGATATCTTTGATTATTTTTTAGAAAACTCTGGGCCCTTATATTTTTTTTTATTTATACATAATAGTTATACACATTTAGGGAGTACAGTATAATATTTTGATACACTCATATAGTGTATAATGATATCAGGGTAATTGGGATATCTATCACCTCAAACATTTATCATTTCATTGTACTGAGAACATTCCAAATCTTCTCTTCTAGCTATTTTGAAATATAAAAAATATTTGTTAATTATAGTCACCTTACTGTGCTATCAAAAAATAGAACTTATTTCTAGGTTCTTAAATCTTTAAATTTTTCTTTTGCTTTGTCTCCAGCTTCTTCTGCAGAGATCCTTATTAGATATGTGATATTATCCCACAGCTCTTTAATGCTCTGCTCTTTCTTCCCACTCCTTTTTTCTATCTGTGATTTTATGTCAGTAGTTTCTATTTCACATCTGCCCATGCTATGCTGTCAAGCTAGTCCACTAGACTCTTTAACATATTAATTATAGTGATTTTAAATTTCTTACCTGATGATAGTTTCAATATATACTTTATCTTTGAATCTGGTTATGAGGTCTGATATGCCTCTTAAGGTTTTTACCTATTTGTGTGTCTTTTCATTTTGATTAAATGACAGACATGGTGTGTAAGAAAACTCAGATAAATAGTATATATGTCTGAAATTGTGTGTGTGTTTTCTTTTGTGAGGCTGTTAGTGTGGGATTTGAGTCAATTTAGTCAGGAATTTATTTTTCTTAGGTCTTCACTGTGAGAACTTTCTAGAGTTCCTGGAGCTAAAATTCATAAAAACATACCCATCAGACCCCATCACGAGGCCTCCCTAGAGTATTTTTCTCTCAGACTTGTCCACAGTTAGTCTCAAGAAATTTGTCATTTATAGTTTAGGCTTTCCTATTCCATTATTAGTTTCTGCTAAGGTATTTGATGAGTTTCTTCTCTAGTAAATTGTGATTCTTTGTATTTGGCTGTGTATCTTTTCAATTTCAGAGACTGTTATCTTCCCTGTGTCCTCATTTTCCTGACATATCTAAGTAGAGTTGTTGATTTTTCCAGTTTGTTTAATGTTTTACTTGTTAGGATGAAGTGACAACTCCCAAGCTTCTTAGATGTAGGACCAGAATTGGGAATTCCATCTTCTCCATTAATTTAATGGAGGCTACCTCCTCCTTCATTTTCAGTGTTTTCTTAGTAAAAATATGTAGATGAGTATGATGAGTATGAAAGATGAGTATGAAAGAATATGTAGATGAGTATGAAAGAATTAACACATTCCAGCATCAAATAATTAAAGATAGCCTAAAATACATTCTACAAAAAAACTGTAACATTACAGTGTGAACATTTCATCTTTTCTGAAGGATCTGCAGCAAGGGCAGTCTTTTTTCTAAGTAACTAACTTTTTTTCTTATAAACAAATCAAATTAAAGATTTTTGTTCTTTCTTGCTCATTCCATCTTATTACAAGTAATTGAGACATGCTGAAGCAAATTCAGGGCATTAATTCTATTACAATTCTGGAGAGACATAATTCTTGCCTGTATTATGCTATAATAATGGAAAGTCTATATTTGATAGAGGCTAATAACAATAAAAAAGTGATGTGAATTCAAAAAGATTTGGATCCTGTGGTAGATGGAATAATGCCCCTCCCAACAATGTCCTTGTCTTAATCCCTGAACCTGTAAATTTCACTTTACCTGGTAAAAGGGGGGTTCACAGATGTTAAAGGTTTTGAGGTGAGGAGATTATTCTATCTTGGTAGGCTCAATGTTATTCTAAGGGTCCTTATAACAAGAAGACAGGAAGGTCAAAATTAGAGAAGGATGTTTGAGGATAGAATCAAAGGTTAGAGTATTACGATTGCTGACTTTGAAGAAAGAAGAGACTTACAAGCCAACAAATGCAGGCAGCCTCTAGGAGCTGAAAAATGTGATAAATTCCTTTCCCCCAGAGCCTCCAGAAGGCATGCAACCTTGCCAACAGTTGGATTTTAGCCCAGTGAGACTTCTGATCTCCAGAACTATAAGGTAATAAATTTGAGCTGCTGCAACTCACTAAGTTTATGGTAATGTGTTACAGCAGCAGTAGGACACTAATATAGGTTCTAATCTCATTTCCAATACTTGTCAGAACATGGAAAGCAGATTTCATGGGTTTAAGAATGAGTTGTTCTTAAGGTAGTGAGGGCCTTGAGTTTCAAAAACTTTTATAATGGAAGTTATTTTTCAAACAGCATACACGATAAGGTGAGAAGGAAGAAGGTAAGAAGTCTTGTGATGGTAAAATACCAAGGAATGTAAGGATTGGGCAGTGTCTAGCAGTACCTTTATATGGAATGTGAGCAGTTCCGCATAACGTCCTCATCCCTGGTAAGCACTCATTGATTCCAGCACTGAATCATGGCCACTATGTAGCCTTAAGATACAACATGCTAGTGAATGTGGCTACTACTATTGATTTTTTAGTTGGAAGATAATGTCATTCAGAATTCTCTCAGAAAAATGTAGAGAAACCACTCAAAGTATTTAAAACATAGGAAATTTGATGGAGAACTAGTTACATAGGTCATAGAAGAGCTGGGAAGATAAAAGGGCAATGAAGCATACTCAGAGATTAGCAATAGCAGAAAAACACTACAACCCCTAAGGTGCTGAGACAAAGGGAAAATTGGGAGTCCAAAGGCTGGAATCACCCTGCAATAGTGGTAACTATGGCTTGTCACTGGGGAGCTGGAGCCACTGTGGGAAAACTGTGTGATGGAGATGGGGGTGGCTTTTCCTTTTCTGACCACACTATCATTTGCTGCTAGTTACTTCCATTAACTCAAAACAAAATGGAAACTAGCTAAAATTTTAGCCAAGGAAACATATTCAGCAAGGGTCAGACTCTATAATGGACAAAGCAGAGCTGAGAAGGCAAGGAAGTGATCTGAGCTATTGGTTTTGGACCAGCTTAGCATGTGAGTTTAAGGGGAAAATAGACTTTTTAAAAATCATTTGGTTATGTCAAGAAACAGTGAAGATAGTATTTTGAAAATTAGGGATTTGAGGCTGGGAGTGGTGGCTCACACCTATAATCCCAGTACTGAAGGAGGCTGAGGTGGGAAGATCACTTGAGACAAGGAGTTTGAGACCAGCCTGAGCAACATAAAAGACCTCATCTCTACAAAAAAACATTAAAATTTTAAAAATTAGCCTGGTGTGGTGACATGTACCTGTAGTCACAGCTACTGAGGGGGCTGAGGTAGGAGTATTGCTTAAGCCCAGGAGTTGGAGGTTACAGAGACCTATGATGATGACACTGCAGTCTAGCCCAAGCAACAGAGAGACTCTCTTTCACACACACACACACACACACACACACACACACACACACAAAAGAGCAATTCAATAAAAAAGAACACATTTTTCCAAGATGTAATAATAATCAAAACTGAAGTGTATAAGACTGAGATTTTTGGTTATGTAGGTATCTTTTTTTTTTTGTTCATTTGTTTGTTTGTTTGTCTAAAGGACATCAGCCTAGTATACTTCTTGCATTACAAAAAATTTAAAAATTGAATGTCCTCTCATATGACATCTTCATGTGTAATTAACTATTCTAACTCATAAAGTCAATTTATACACTAGAAAGGTTATATAGGTGAAATTACCAAGTGATTATTTTATTTTATTTTTGAGACAGAGTCTTGGTTTGTCGCCCAAGCTAGAGTGAGTGCCGTGGCATCAGCCTAGCTCACAGCAACCTCAAACTCCTGGGCTCAAGCAATCCTCCTGTCTCAGCCTCCCGAGTA